TTCATCCGAAGGACTAAGCACCCAAACAGAAGCTCGACAAACCAAACCAAATGCAGAAACCAAACAAACACTCCACAAATGCACGGCTTAATTTAGGAGAGCCAACCCCACTGGGACAAGACTCAGCTGTGCACCTGCATGTAAAAGATAAATTGTCACTCTTGAGGCTGCCAGCACTCACATATTGGACAGACTAGACAGATTGTGTCAGAGACAAGTAAAGGAGGCCATATATGTCCACTGCGAACATCTATTGAACAGCAGCAGCAACACTAGTCTTGAGAGCTCTTCCCAGGTAATCTAACCCCACCTACTCCTTGACATCAATAGCACACATGTGATGAACCACATGATTAATAGTGAGTGTATGACCTTCAGGACCACCTCCAATGTGGCATCTGGGGATAAATATCTGGGAATCTGTCAGCCAATTTAAAGCTGTGCAAACCTCTTGGCAGCCACAAAAGTCGCCCCCTTGTGGCCATAAAAAAAGAATCCAGATTTAAGACATTTTCATGTTGGCTTCGCTTTTTAGTCCTGGATGTTAGGGTTCACACTCAGGACTCAAGCACATGACACAGTCAAAGGGTTAAAAACTAAACAGTCTTCAGCTAATTCCAGCTGTGATAAATTCCATCTGGAATGAATCACAGATAAGGAACTTCAGCTAAGTAATCCTGTTTTTTTTAGGGCAGGGATTCAAACTGTTCGTCTCTCAAAATTAGCAGCTCTCCTCTTCAGTTTTCAAAGAACAAAACATCCATACACTTACTTGGGTGGGCTGGGTGGGGGTCTGACTTGCCTTTCAGGTGTCTGGCTTCTAGCTCAGAGAGAAGATCAAACAATGAGTATGAGCAAAGTAGTCACGATCAGCTTGGTATTTCAAACAGCCTCCGCAATTTTAACTGTACTGGGGGAGAACAGTCAGGCATCACCCAGGGTCGAGACCCAGCTCAAATATGATGTTAATTGGTGATGAGTAGCAGGTGTGCCAGGCCAGGACTTCTAGAAGCCACACCCACCACTTCATTTCATACACTAGCAGAGAGGCAGGTACCACACCTAGACTACACGGGGACCATGATGGTCCATTCTTTGTACTCGCTGTAGTCTTTTGTGTTTTTTTTGTGGGTTTGTGGTTAATACTTGCTTGTTCCTATAAACCCATTAATGTGGGGGCATTTAGATGAATAATTTTGGGAAAGGTAAGATATGATCAAAAAGTTTCCTCAATCAGCCCATAAAAGAAAAATACCAGATTCAAATCTTTACATTTCTTATCTACGCCCAAATGGCTTCCTGCAAATTTGTTCCTAGGAGTCCAGTTATGACCAGGTGAGCCGTGTGCTCTGCTGTTTACCGCAGATCGGACCGTGTGACTGCTGGCTATCGTTTAAAAAACCAGAGCGCTTGACATCACAGTAAAGTCAACTGAAACATCCAGAGGGGTTTGAGGGAGAAATTTTACTGGAAATAACCGAACCGTGGTGCACTCCATTGTGCTGTCATGAGTTTGTGTTTTTTCCACACAACCTTGGCTCAGCACCTGCTCCACTCACCAGACATGCCTCTGTGCACATGCCTCCACTTGCCCAGGATGAAAATTAAGTCAGGCTGTTTTGACACACTAGATTTGATCCAGCACGCACGGCAGATGCACAAGAGCAAGTGCATATCGCGTCTGTTATGTTTGTCCAACTCTTAGAGACTGTGATGATGAAAATTGATACCAGAAACAGTGGAAGGAGTTTGTCTGGCTTGAAATTACAGTTGAAAAACTGAAGAAAAAATCTACACAGACGGTTTGGGGGTGTCCTGTTCTCGTCTGATGCAGAAACACTGACGTTTGCCACAAAAGTTAGTGGACCAAAATGTAAACATGCCGTCAGAGCACTGGCTCTTTTAAGCCTCCATAGCTGAGTGTCACGCTGCTTGATTTACCACGCTCAGATTTGGAAAACCCTAACTCGACTCATTGTGAGCTCTTAAACAGAAAGAGAGAAAAAAACCCTCTTTGCCAAATTGTAGTCTGAGTTCTGTCCCGAAAGATGTTTGTCACATGACGACACAAAGTCCCAGCTGTGGGGTTAGCGGTTGAGAACGCAGTGGGAACTCTGGCCGGGACCTAATCTGACTTTTGTCACAGACGTCACGTACCGAGGAGGTCGCTGGAGAGATGAAGGACTCAGCGCCGTTTTGTGTGTACACACTCGCAGCCTCTGTGTGTTTGTGTTACCAGATGATACAGTGACTCTGTTTGTTATAAAAGACAAAGTGCATGTGCTGTTTGTTTGGACAGATATGCTGCTCCAGATAATTGTATGTGAAAGTGGGAGACGGTGAGTGTGTGTCTGTGTTTTGGCATTTTCAGCAGCTCTTGTTTATGTGAACGTAAGCCTGAGGTGAATGGTCGGCAGTGACTGCTTCACACTGTTATCATAGATGCTCTCACACAGTTCGGCTCTCTCTCTCTCTCTCTCTCTCTCTCACACACACACACACACACACACACACACACACACACACACACACACACACAGAAGTAGTAATGAATGCATTATTTATAATTATTTGAAATGCCTCAGTTTTAAAACAAACATGGAATTAATTGTTATATTAACCTTTTAACCTTCTTAAATGCAAACAGGACCTATTCTGTTTATCTACACGCTCCTTATTTTTGTTCTCGGACTCTACTAGATTCACATTTTCAAATAATAATCTTCTATTGGCTGTTCACAACCTCTCAGTCCATTTTCGGTCTGAAATGAGTGATTTTAGTTCCTATGTTACTCAGTTTACCCCAGTATTTTTTTTTATTGGCTGCCCCTCTTAAGCAGAAGGTTTAACCAGCAGGTGGGCGTGGCTTCCATGCCCAAGATGACCATGTTAGGGATATCAGCTCTCTAAAACAGCATACAGAGACAAGAGTAAAAACAGATGCCTGAAATTGAGCTTTTGGCCCACAGGGATTGCTTGTACGTGTGCCGATGTCATTATTTAAATCTATGTTTATGAGCATTAAGCTCAGTATAAACATCTCACAAAATAAGGATAAACAGAACAGCTTTCTTTTTAATTATTTCTTTTTTTTTACCATTTTCTCCTTCTCTCCTTGTCTCTCCTCATTTAACATTAGAACTCAGTGCCTTTGACTTCTATTTATCTTAACAATGATCATTTAAAACCGCTTTGTTTGCTTTCTTTTTCCTGTTTGGCCCAAACTTCCAAACTTGCAGCCCACTCTGCAAAAACCTGTTGAAGACATGCGCCTGACAATTCAACTTGTGTCAACACTATCAACTTGACTGATTTATGTGGCTGTCAATCAAATGTATAAAAATATGAAGATGTTTTTGAATTTTTTTAAACAAGCAGTATGAAAAGTTGACGAGTACTAAACCTTCACTTTAGAGCCAAATTTAACCCAGTTTTTGGCTTGATTGCTGTACCAGTTAAACATTTTTTAGAGTTATAATCAACAGAAAACTGCTAATTGTGCTATTGCTGAATGGCTGACATTAGATTTACTCCAAGTAATGAGCAGCCTGAAAAAAAATCCTTTTTTACTTTTCACTTTTCAGCCAGATTTAGACATAAAAGGATGACTTCTTTTGTGTTTTTTCGACCACACTGATGTCATCCAAGGACGTCTTTTGCTTGTTTGGCATATTTAGCTAAGTGGGTCTTAAGTTAAATTTCCAATTTCCATCTATCTAGAAAAGGTCAGTAATATTTTTGCTTCGTCCTGTTTAGATAATTGGAATTTTTTGTGCTCAGAGTGCAGCCAAGAAATGATCCATCAGCTGTAGCGTTCACCAAATGCACATTTTGTTCATCACATTTTAAAATGCACACACATGTGATCCATCTACTGCAAGACTAAAAGATCATTTGAGAGTTATATGGAACATTATGGCAGCTTGTGCATCTGTATATTCATGCAAGATGTTAAAATGCGGAAGGTGAAGCTGAATGTACATAAAAAAATAGTGTTTCTGAAGGTCTTCCAAAGCTTTTCTTTAGCCATTGGCTGCTTTTTTACTCATTTTCAGTCCAGTCCTTGTACCTGATCATTTTCAGAGAAACTTTTTGGGGTTTTTTGGACTGAACTATTAGTCATTGAAACATAAAAGACACCTAACTGAAGGGATGAACCAGTGTTGTTTCTACACATACCAGACAACTTAGCAAAGAACCAATTTAAATTTATGTTTAGGCACTTTGTTACTAACAGCCTGTCACTAAAACACATCGCTTGCGCCATTTCTTTAGTTGAATCTATAAAATATTTTTATAGATATTTTTCTCATCTTGGCATAGTGTGCTATGTGTCTTTCAAACATTTGAGGACACAAGAAGAACTAGAAGGTCAAGCAGCAGATGAGCAGTTTCTGAAAGGATTATCTGTAAGAAACACGACTACAGGTCAGTGGTGTTGGGAGCATCTGATTGGCAAAAGCTTTATTTTTTCAGTGTGACAGCGATCCCAAACACACCCTTAATGCAGTAAAATAATACTGGATAGAAAAACACACAGTGGAACACTATCAGTCATGGATCGGCCTTCCCAGATCCCCAAGCAGTGTGGGATCATCCTGACAGAGAACAGAACAGAAGGCAGAAACATCCAAAGAAGAGCTCTGAATGTCCTTCTTGTGTTTCAGTTTCAGTCGTTAGGATGATGAGGGATGTAATTTGGGCAAAAGACTGATTGGACTGAGGCTGAATTCTTTAGATCAGTTTCTGCCAGTTGCCCTCACTATGAAATAAGATTAAATATAATTCATTTAAACACAACAGGGATTAAGCAAAGCTTAGCCCAGCAAGCAAGCCATTCATGTTCCCGAATGTTTCTTCTTCTTTTTCTTCTTTTTATGACATTAGACTCTCTATAGAAATGGCAGCAAAAGTGCATAACGTACAAGTGTTGTGCTGATGAGTCATTCGATGTGTTTTTGGCATTTTTATTCATTTAAAGGACTCACTTTCCTTCCTGGTTGCCCAAGACTAAAAAGACAGTAAAAGTTGCTGAAACAGTTCACATTCGTGATTCGTGATGCCTTTGTTGGTCTTGGGTCCATCACTGTCTTTATCAGCCTCTGCAGGTGGTGTATTAAATCTATGGTCAGTCCATGAGAGGCAGAAATATGCTTCTTTTGTGTTAATGATGTTTACTTGTTGCAGGTTTAATCTTGATCCGGAGAAGATGTGCACTGACGATCGACTGTGGGAGGCCCTAGAGATCGCTCAGCTCAAGAACATGGTGAAAGCTTTGCCTGGAGGACTAGGTGCGCAAACTTAACTCGAGAACGAATACAGCTTATTGCACCAGAAATCGGTTTTGAGTCGAGTACTTGATCGATGTGTTTGTGTTTAGACGCTGTCGTGACAGAAGGAGGAGAGAACTTCAGCGTTGGGCAGCGGCAGCTCTTCTGTTTGGCTAGAGCTTTCGTTAGAAAGAGCAGCATCTTCATCATGGATGAAGCCACAGCATCTATAGACATGGCTACGGTGTGTGCTTATTCATGGCATCTTGTGCAATCATGTACAGAAGCTCTTTCCTTAATGGAGATATATTTGTGGGATTGTAATTAAATATTATCATCAGCCAGTTTCATTTTACTTATGTAGCCCCAGTGTTCCAAAAATACTAGAGAAAGAAGCAAAAAATGAACAAAGCAAGCAAAGAAAATGAATGACTTTTAGTTAAAACAGGTTATTTCTAAGGCATCAGTAAAGAGAGACATGACATCATAAACAGCTTGAAATAAATATAACTGGACTGGAGGTGGGTTGCAAAGCAGTTTGCATCGTGACAGCCCCATTTTAGCCTCGCTCTACTTTGGATCACGTTTACAGCAGCTCACCACTTCCTCACCTGACGATATGGTTTCTATTCTCTGTTTCGTCTTTCTGTCTTGCAGGAGAACATCTTACAGAAAGTCGTGATGACGGCGTTTGCAGATAGAACAGTCGTAACAATCGCAGTAAGTCCTTCAGTCTTTTATCCTGTTGTTGTTACTGATGAGGCAAAAAAAAAAAAACTGCTGAGGTCAGCTGAGGTTTGTACAGATAGATGCAGATATGTGGCTCTCTTTGCACTGAGCTCTATGTTCATCTGTCAGTAAATTATTTACCCCACAGATGTTTCCTTTATCTGTGCCTTTTATTAATGGCCTTTCCCATACATCAACACAGTTTGTAACACATAGATGGATTTAGTGACTTCAATTCAGTCCTCTTGTCCGGTTCTTTTATTTATATGCTTCCCTTTTTTCTGACTTTTGTCTCTTTGTGTTGCTGTCTTGTCCTGCTCTGTTTTTCTTTCCTTTCTTTTTCAATCTGCTGTCCCCTTCTACTTTTCCCCAAATCTCTCCCTTTCCCCCCACCTCCTTCCTTTTCTTTTTTGTTTTCTCACTTTTTCTTTTTTACTATATCTACTACATTTTCTGTTGTCCTCCTTCATCTCCGTTTGTCCTGCCACCAGCATCGAGTGTCCTCTATCTTGGATGCCGAGCAGGTGTTGGTCTTCTCCTCAGGGATATTGGTGGAAAGTGACTCTGGTCCCAACCTGCTAGCACAGGAGGAGAGCCTCTTCAGTGTGCTAGTGAGGACTCACAAGTAGACCCGGATCAACACAGACCACTTTGGCTCAGCCGACTCTCGGTCTCTCCTGTTTTCTTCCATTTTCCTACCTGTTTCTGTTTATTTTCCTGGCTGAGCCACAGCTGAAGTCTGACTCTGGGTCTGCTGAAGCTTTACTGCCACTGACAGCCTGGTTGGTACAAGAAAATACTGCATGCTCTTTTAAAGATATTCCTTGTGGATGCAGTGCAAATTTGACGACAGTCTTCAGTGTTGTGACATTGTTTGTCCTCCAAACTAAAAATTGAGAAGGGATTCAGTTAGAATTAAACCTGAAATTGTATTTTTAGTAGCTGACTGGTTCAGATGCTTTACATTCATCTCATTCAGCAGGTTCCTGGAAAATTGGACTGTATCAATAAAATGGGTCTTTGGACATCTCTTCCAAAAAGAATAACATCATCTCCAAAACTGTGAAGAGTCCACATATTTTATTTTATAGCAGCTGACCAGTCTATAAGATTCTTACCAAATCCTTCATTTGATCCAACAAAACTAGTTTAAAACATATTATAATTTTATTAAAACAAAACATTTCACTTATTACACTTCACTTATTATGTTTGTGTTTTGTGTCGTCCCTGTGTGTCTCCAGCACCGTGTCCACACCATCCTAACAGCTGATCTGGTCATTGTGATGAAGCGAGGCAACATCATGGAGTACGACAAACCTGAGACGCTTTTGGAGCAGGAGGACGGGATGTTTGCTTCGTTTGTCAAAGCTGACATGTAGGGACACGCGGGACCCAACGGTGGACAACCTGCTCAGTTTCTTGGGTTTTTTTGTTTTTGTATTTTTTTAAACCTGAATTACTTTCTTGTTGAGGTGAACAGCCCTCTGAGAGACTACCCCACTGCAGGGAAGCCAGTAACACACTGTTTCTGCGAGGAGAAGCTTCCCTGTGCACTCACCAAATGGAGACAGGGTCAGCTGTCAGTCAGTGGGTTTAAGAAGTTGTACTAAAGAAGTCAGGAAGTAAAAGAAGGTGCTTTGGGTAGGCTTGCTAATCAATGAGTCCATCGGTTGGTTCATCCCGTTTTTTTGTTTGAATTTAACAAAACCCAATTACACAAACCACAACATTAGTAGTATTTGGACTGGAAAGTGAAATAATAAAGATATATCTTATATGTGATGGATGGCTAATGCAAACTACAAATGAAAATATTTTCTCACTTGTCTCATAGAAAGTCTTAAGTTATTTTTCCGACTTTCAAAATTTTCTCAAGATCTAAACAAGAAAATAAGCAATAAATATAAATGCTTGCGAAGCTCACAGTATCAAAATGGGCAGCCAGGCAATCTTTCCTGCGCTCTAAGACTAAGAATAGTGAGAACTGTTAATAGTTAATAAAGAACTGATAAAAAGCAAAGTTATTTCATTTTTTATTGCCAGTAAATCCCACAAATGACCAAACCTACTATAAAATATGTAATATGTATACTAAATAATGCAACCACAAATACAAAAAACTACGTCTTAAAAACTGCAGTTGTGGCCACTCGATGCTGGCTTCGAAAAATCTCCACAGATCCTGTGTCAAAATGTCTAAATTTACAAAAGAAATGAACATGTTGATGAAAAACGTGTATCTCAGATCGGTTGCCTGCAGTTGCTAGGTGAAATCGGCCAAAAGAGGTGTACAGAGCTGCACTGAAAACCTCTGTGGTTGCTTTGGTCTGTATCAGATTGCTGCGGTTGCAGGTTGTGCAGCAGTGAAACTGTGAGGAATGTGATGAAGACATTAAATGACGACTGTTCACCTTCAAAGTAAAAGTTGTTCCTTTTGAAACGTGTTGGTTTTGGCAGTAAGGCACAACTTGCCAAGACAAGTCAACATTTCCAATGCAAATCTTCAATTCTATTGACAAAACAAATGAATCAGGGGCAACTTGGAGTTCAGCATCTCGCTCACTTTTGACATGCAGACTAAATGAGCCAAGAATCAAACTACCAACCTTTTGATTGGTGGACAACCTGCTCCTCCTCCTGAGCTAAAGTTGGCCATATGATAGATGTCTAGGACTATACGACACATTTAAATTGCATATATGTTTAAAGTTAGGCAATACTAGAACTAGAACTAGACATCTCACCCATGTTTATGGCTTTGGTACCTTTTGGATCTGATGAGCAGATTTTTCTATGTTTGATTAAACTTGTGGATGCACTTTTCTAACCAAGCTAATAAGCACTAGCTGATAGCTTTTGGCTCCATAAAATGTCAAGATAATGCTAAAGCCATGACATCATTATTGTTATAACTACCATATTTATATAAAATCTCTCTGAGAGCACCGAATATGGATTACCTGCCTTAACAAATGCACTGTTACCTCTTTTTAACACATTTTTTACACCGTTTTAAATGGATTTGAAAGGTTTTTAGGTTAGAGTATTAAGACAGAGGCTTATGTTTGTTGGTCTTTTCATGGGATTTGTAGACAGTAGGAAATACATTCAGTTTATTAAATATAAATTATGGCTTTGAGATTTTATTTCAGGCGTTGAGGCTGTTAAAAGTGTAAAATGTAAAGATTTAATAGTTGGAGAGTGAACAGAAGTGTTGTTTCATATTAATAGAATTTTTACAGTCTTTAATTATCTTGTGTAAAATATTTGTTACTTTTTAGATCATGCACCACCTCTGTTTATATTGACTAGCACCTGTATTATGCAATAATAATGATGGAAGAATTTTTAAATGTATTTAAAATCCTTTTTAAAAATGACTGTTGGCTCTTTGGCCATTATTTTTCTGAATAACGCAGTGGAAGGATTTTAAATCGACCCTTTTGTATTCTACTCTACTTTTTGACCTTAAGTTCTGCCATAGAGGTAACACTGATAGAAATGACAAAGCTGATGGAATCAGATGGTTTTATTAACCAGTTTAAGAATGCATTTATAATGATAAATAACACAGCTGATTGTTGTGGCCGTTCTTTGACTGAACATGTGTTGACATTTTTCACGAGATGCCAAAAATGAGACGTCACAAAATACCAACAGGAGTTTCCCAAGTGAAGGCTGGATACTCTATTTCTGGCCTACGTCTCCTTCCTCCCTGCTCTATCAGATGTACGTCTATGCCTCCATTAGTACAAACACTGTAAGGTGTCACGGCTCAGCCTGCAGCCAGTGAACCTGCTGTCTGTCTGCGGTCATGCTTTGCTGAACTTTTTATCCTCGGGGACAATAGATACCCAGCATGCCTCCCGTTAACTCCAGAGATGCTTCATGGATGTTTGAGAGGGCAGTGATGTCTTTTCTTTTTTTTACTGAGGAAGAGCAGTAACTTGCAGTAACTTAATAATCAGTTCTAGGGGCTGAAATTTAGAGCTACATCAATCTCTATTTTGCACATTAATAATGCAAGATTGGTAACAAATCGGATGAAACCAAATTAGAGCTCATCGGAGAGAATGAATTTTAGAGAGTGAAATTTAGCATTCACAAGGTGAACATAAAGAGGAGTCCACATAGTAAAAAAGAGCTTTTGCATATGGGAACTAGATTTAGATTTAATGTTTTCATGTGGCTTTGTTTAAAGTGTCCATTAAACTAGGAGAGTTCATTTTCTGCTGAAAATCCTGTTAGAGGCAGACACTTTGTCTCTGCATGCAGAGTTATGAAGGCATTTTACATGCGTCTTCATAACCATAAGCCACCTTTAAAAATGAACATTTGTTATATGATTTCTTTCATCTGTACAAAAAAGTTGTAATGTTGGCTAACTGAAATCCTAAAAAAGCTTGTTGATGGTTTCTCGCTCGGCATGTATAATTCAACTTGTGTGGATCAGGTCTCCTGAAATTTAAACTGTAGGATGATGTTGTGAGCTGTTGTACATGTGTAAATGTGATTTTAGTCCATTGCTAGGTGGTTGATAGGCAATGTAATGGCATCACAATATCTGACATAGATAAGAACCTTTGGGGGCCGGAGGTGTACCTGTGAGCCAAGTTTGTCTGCTGACTTCTGATGCTCTCGGAGGGGTTTGTGGACAAAGAATCAAACACACAGCAGAGATGCCAGAGTCCTTTCTTTTGCATTGAAAGAAAAATATTTGGGAGACAGTATCTCGTAATTATGACTGTTATCTCCCAGATAAAAGAAAACTTCTCATCATCACAAGATAATGTACAATAATAGAAAAATGCCACAGAAACGTGCCTGACAGTGTTCACACTGTGCAGTGGGACAGGAAATGGAACCGCTTCATAATGTGCTTGGGAACTGTTGTGTTTTTAATCATTTTGAGATTTAATAAGCAATTTAGTGATGGTTCTTGCTTCTGTTGGTTTCAAATAATAGAGCTAGTCAAGATTCCTTGTCACTGTCACTACAATGCAAGTTTTCATATATAAACTGCAGAAGTCGTCCCTTTCTGCAGTTTAAAAACACACGCAACATGCATATCAATGAATGGCTATTTAATTAATAGGCAGGCTTTTTGAATATATAAAATGTCTTAAATATAAATGTTACCCAAAGGAAACCAGCTCATTGCCATCACAGTGAATCCATTTGCGCTGCTACTCCTGTGCTCGCAAACATAAAAATGACTGATCAACACTTACGGGTCTCAAATTAAGTGATAATAAATCATACTCGTGAGCCGAAGTCTCAGCTTTTGGGTGATATTTTCAGTGCACAACAATATGTAGTTACAGCTCAGCATTCAGTGCATTTCTTTGGAATATCTTTTCTAACCTCTCTGGGAGCGGTGCTATTGTCCCTTTATATTATTGTATATTGATTAGACTTACTTTGCTTTTGGACTAAAATTTGAAACTTTGTACTGTACAGTGTTGAATGCCAAACATGATTTTTCCGCCTTTTCTTGTTTAAATATCTTACATGTTTCATCTCAAGAAGTTGTCACTTAAGCTTTTGAACTTTGTGGTTTCTCTCATTTTATAACTTGTTTTAATATAACACAACAAGATGACACGTGAGGTTTACCGTCACACTTGGTGATCACAAGCTTCGCCTGCACTTTTCTTTCCCCTGACAGCTTTAACTGTAACACTGAATGTCTTTGTTGTTTTATAGCTTTATATTCTGTCCCTGCAGTTCTTCCAAGTCCTCGTCCGTCTCCTCTGTTAGCGATCGAGTGCTCTTCCTCTTCTTTGTTCCTCGTTCAGCAGAACTTTTTATGCTCTTGGCCACCGTCACACTCATAAATCCTTTGTTTTCCTTGCTGTGCTTCCATGCTGCTCCTGTTCTGAACCTGCACACAGCTGCCTTGTAAACTCATCCTCTCACACCCCAAACCACTTTTTGTCTTCGAAGCTGACATTTTACACCAAGAGCAAAAAAGCAGTGGTGCCATTTTTCCACGTTACACTTTGCACAGGATTTTTCACTGAAAGAATGTCTCTTTTCGAACAGGTTTCACTTGTGTTTTAGTTTCTGGTAACAAACAAGTACATAAAAACAGCGAACGGGTGGAAATGTAAGGGAACTGCATGTAACTCATTGTCGGAGCTATGCAGAGAGCTTTACTTGCTTTCATGAAGTTGACTGTTAACAGAGAGCATCTTAAATACTGACATCTTTCTCACAGATCAGTTTGGAGATGGTCATTTTTTTTTCTGTATGTACATTCTGTCTGTAGTAGCCTGTATAGCCAAGGGTTTAAACATATATATATTAAACTGCTATTATTATGTGTGCCTGATTTCTTTTCTTTTTTTTTTCACACTTGTAATAACAATAAAATGCTTTTGAGTGACGTGAGGCTGTTTGTTTTTATTGGGCCGCTTTCACGGCCGTAAACTCTTGACCTTTCCTACCTCAGGACACAGCCCAGGAGTCACGGTACCCTCAATACTAGATGTGATAAATTGCTAAATGGCGCCCCCTGATGACTGTTTCTAAAATAAATCCAAATACATGTACTAGGAAAATGCACACATTTCAGAAAATATATGAAAATGAGAGCCGTTAGGTGTTTTTTTTTTCTTTTTTGTTGTTCTTAATAAACTTTTCCTTTTTGAGCTTTTGTGTTCATTTTAAAAGATGTGTTTACAGATTGAAACACAAAACCAGTCAAACTGGACACTGGTTTTTATCAACAGCTGATGTTTGTTTTTGTTTTACCTGAACTCAAAGAGTCATTCCTGCATGAATTATAGCGGCGCAATCGAAATTTTGCCCTTACTTTACCCGACACCCACCTCTCAACCATCCTATAGCTGTATGGGGTTGTCCCATAGGAAAATTTAGCTTGCCTGGAGAACACCTCTGTGGCTTGACAAATTTAAACTGGATAGAAAAGACGGGTAAATATAAAGGTTTTTATAGACAGTTAAAGACAACTGAGTCTAGTTTGATTGGTTTCATGGATGTAGATTAGCAGGGAAAGTGCTGACTTTGTGCCCAGCTCTAACTAAAGTTCCCTGCAGGTCCGATTGTTCGGCTTCCATTAAATGAAGGTAGGGTTAGGATTACCGCCTCCAACCTGAGTAAGAGCTACAATTACAGACAAGAGTAGCTCCTCCCCTCTGTAAAATGCCAAATAATGGTCCAAATGTGACGACTTTCCTCTTCACTGTTTTCCATGTTTCTTTGATATTTATATGCATGAAATTAGCCCTTTATGCACATTCTTGATAAAGTGGGTTAAACAATGACCGAACTTAAGAGACATCTGTTTTAGTGCTTAAAAAACTGCCAAAAAAGTTTAAAAAAAACCAAAACAAAACAAAAAACCCTATAAGATAAAAAGATTCTAGGGCCTTCCAAAGCGGGCTGTTTCGGTGGTTTTGCCCTTTCCCACTGCCTTTGAGGGGGGCCTGAAGGCAGCAGCGCTCTGATCCGAGCGGGTCTTGACTCTGGAAGTGCGTCAACAGCAGAGTGGAGACCGTCCCAGCCCTCAGAGGCTCAGAGCAGAGGCGGCGCGCTGCCTTCAGTCCGAAACATCTCCGAAAGGCGACGGAGGTATAACTGTTCGTTCGTCTTTGAGCGTTTCCCTGCTGGTGGGCATGCTGCGTCCGTGCGTAAAGACGCACTGAGGACTGTTTTCTTTGCCATCGGGAGCGGCAAGCGGACGAGAAGATGCTGGCGAGGAAAAGCATCATCCCGGAGGAGTTCGGTCTCCCGGGGCTCGTCTCCCGGATGCCCCGCAAGCCGGTGTTCAGGGACCGCGTGAACAAAGCGCGCTTCATCGCCAAAAACGGCTCGTGCAACTTGGCGCACAAGAACATCCGCGAGCAGGGGAGATTCCTGCAGGACGTCTTCACCACGCTGGTGGACCTTAAATGGCGTTTCACGCTGGTCATCTTCACCACGACATTCGTCAGCAGCTGGCTGCTGTTCGCCATGAGCTGGTGGCTGGTGGCATTTGCGCACGGAGACCTGGACCCTACGCGTGAAAACATGACCGACTGCGTAAAAAATCTGAAGTAAGGAAAAGCCTGAGTGCTTTCATGTAACCTGTTCCAAGAAAACGAGGTTGTTAAAGTGTGTTTGGTGTAAATTCGTCAAGTTTTGCTCTGTCGAAATTCTTTCTGTCTCCGTCTGCACTTGATCCAAACCTCCCAGCTCCCACCCGCCTCCTCTTCTCTTCGCTCACATTCTCCATTTTTAAACTGTGGAAGAGAAAAAAGAGGGAATGAGAGAACTTCTGCTGCGTTTATTTCAGGCAAATAAAAGAGCAGAAGCAGAAAGATCGCATGTGGTGAAAAGTTTTTTGGCACTTCCATGTTAGCGCATCCACCCTCACCCCATGAATCCTTACCACAGTGAAGGAGAAGACAGAAAGGCAAATAGGAAATTTGCCTTTGCTTCTTTCTTGTAAATGATCAGAATCCATTATCGGGAACCACTTGAGGTGGTGGTTCCATCTTCCATTGAAATACTGCTTTATTTTCCACACTCCCTAAATCTCATAATCATAATCATCATAACCTTTTCACATAAAATGTTTTCTCTTCTGAATTTACCGATGAAGCGTCTGAATTTCAACTGCAGGACATTGACTTGTTCACGTGCTTTTTAATATATACGCACCAGTGATTAAAAGACCTTCATGAATATTACATCAAAAGTATTTTTGGAGGTCAGCTCTGTTTTTTTCTATGTTTGTCATCATTTCTTGCTTTATGAATTAGTCTTGTGGAAAAGTAGTTGGGGAGCAAATGTCGTGAGTAACAGGGTTTGACCAGACCTGATCTGAAGACCGCAACTCTACTTCCTGTTAACTTCTCAACATCCAACATCTATGTGAATAAATGACATTCAGATTAGGGTGCATTTTAGTAATATGTTTAATCAAACTGAATAAAAACTTGAATTTGAAACATGTGAGATACATCAAGTATCTCACATGCATTTTGACCGCTTGGTGGTTGTGACCCCATCCCTAACCCCGATCAGCCATGAAGACCTGGATGTTAGAGGTTAAGCCCATTGTGCATGAAATTGGTTGCGATTCAGGATGCGGAAGGCAGGGGGCGCTGTCGAAATGCTCCTCAATGAAAAAGAGTGAACTGAGCTGAACTAAAATAATTATTTTACCTTTTTTCTGGTTTTACATTGTTTCTTTCACAGTGAAGCTTATTTCAACCATGAAGCGATAGGTCTAGCAGCACCAGAGGAATATTTCACAATAGTTTATCCCCCAGGATATCTGATTTAACTTGTCTCTCCCTCTGCAGGTCGTTCACATCAGCCTTCCTGTTCTCCATCGAGGTTCAGGTGACCATCGGCTTTGGAGAACGTGTGATAACGGAGCAGTGTCCCACCGCCATCACCGTCCTCATCCTGCAGAACATTGTGGGACTCATCATCAATGCTGTGATGTTGGGTAAGGTGCACGAAATGTTTACCTCAAACCTAAAAGGATCAGCAGAAAATCGATGGTTAAAATAAGACAGAAATATCAACCTCGCTCAGTTTTTGTCACCTTGGATGCTGTTTATACTTCAGGGCTGCTTTAATTCTTCATGCACAGAGTCACAAGCTGCTGGAAACATTTCTCTGAGACTTTTGCTTCATGTTTACATGACAGCATCACACAGTGTCATGTCAAAGAAACCAGTTTAAGATTTGAGCTTTGTGGCATGAAACATTATCCTGCTGTAAGCATGGATGCGGTGTGGCTATAAAAAGATGATCATGGTCAGCAACAGTGCTCAGGTAGGCTGTGGTGGTCTGGGGCTCAAAGTATACCAGAAAACTATATCTAATAAAGTGTTTTCTTTTGTTTGAGAAGCAAAGCACTTTGGATGTCTTTAAATTTAGCGCCTTTGAGTTATTTTGAAGTGAAATTTCTCCTGAAAGAGACGAAAAGAAACATAAAACATTTCTGACCTGCGTGTTTAAAGCAGCCTGGCTCTACAGGGCACAATTCCGGCGTGACCCTTTGCCCTCTTTTTAATTATGTATGATTCTGACTCTCGGGTCAGATAGGTTACAGGACTCATTTTTAACTTGAAGAAAAAGGTTTCAGATGACATCTTCCTTTCCGCTCAAACACTGGCAGTGAAGCCATTTTGACTCTTGGCATGTTAAAAGAACTGCGGTGCTTTGTTCCATTCTGACCTATAAGCACTCATGCATGCATAGACGCACCTGCTCAGGTTAACCTTGCCGAGTTTTACCTCCTCAGGTTGTATCTTCATGAAGACGGCTCAGTCGAACCGTCGGGCAGAGACGCTCATCTTCAGCCGCCACGCCGTGATCGCAGTCCGGAACAACCGGCTGTGCTTCATGATTCGTATCGGGGATCTGAGGAAGAGCATGATCATTGGAGCAACCGTCAGGTTACAGGTGAGCCTCTTGTTTTAACCACCAGTAAAATCAAACTCGCTCAACATATGTTTTTGTGTTCTTCTACATGAATCTGAGACATTTTCCAGCTAATTGCTGCTCTAAAATGTCACCTGCCACTTTTTAAATAGAAAGTATAAACTTTGTAAATACGCCTATATAGCTTTACACATACTCATTTTATATGTACATAGAAATAAAGATAAAAAATCAGAAGAAACATACAAAGTAAAATAAATACAAATCATAACTAAACGATAAAAACAAAAGAGAAAACAGCACTGCACCACAATCCAAAGATTTTAAGACATATAAATGAGACCTCTCCCAAATAACAAAATAACATGTTGTGTGTTGGGCATTCCTTCATTTTTCCCTTACCAATCACAGTGTGGGCCACGGCCCCCTAGTGGGCCTAGAACGTATTGCAAGAGATTTTTTTTTACAATAAATACTTTGTGTTTTTGTTCAGTTAACTGAAATAGAAATTTCAGAGTCACAGATTAAAACTTTGATGTGACTCAATCCAGTAAACCTACAGGCAAAAAAATGAAAGCAGGGTCAGAAAGGTGGGTCTTTAGTTTGGGTCTTTAGTCAAAAGATAATGCTTTTTTAAAATGATCTTTGGGATCAGTTCTAATAATTCTGTTTAAAGTTTCAGTGAAATATTCACATTTTTAAAAGAAACGGAGCAACTCAAACATGGGTTTAGAAATTTCTATTATTAAATGTTATTCCTCCTTTCCTGATCTACTTTTGGTCCGTAAGTTCTTTCCAGGTAACAACAAGACAAAAGTTCAACAAGTAAACCATCAGAACATCAAAATGAATTATTGAAAACACAAGAAAAACTTTTATTACATGAGTGTTTTTTTCTTATGTGATGATCAGAGTTGTTGCATCTATTACAAACTGAAGTGCGACTTTTTCTTTTATTCTTTCAATGAATAAAGAACCAACATGTGAAAGACGTTTTGACCAGATCTGAAGTTTCATCTGTGGGTCGAGCTGTTTGTGGCAGTTTTATCTCCGTGAGCACCTCCAGTCTAAGAAAGTTACCCACATTTATTCATGTAACACAACTTTAGTAATTAATCACTACAAAAATGCAGAAATGATCAGCCGGGTACTTTTCTTCACTTCAGATGATATACCCCACCTCTCTAATCACTGAAGTATCTACCAAAATAAAGCAACAAGTAGCTTAGTAAGAAGGAAAGCTTAAATAAGGGGCTGCAGTAAAAATGTAATGACACAGGGGCAAGAGGAGAAATCTTCAGCTTGACTCTATTTACCTCGATGTCGCTATCTCACCCAAGTATCTACAGACCCACTTTCAAATATATTGGGATGCTATGTGAAGTGCACAAATCTCATAAATCCATATTTTATTCACAGTGGACACTGAAAGTGTTTAAACTTACCAAATGTGGCATTTTAAAATATAAGAGAAATATGAGCTCATTTTTAATTTGATAGGATGTCTAAAAAAAGTTGGAAAAGACTGTCTTCTTTTAACTACAGTCTGTAAACATCTGGGATCATCTGGGGAGCAACTGCTAGACCTTCAGGACATTAATGATGTCTGATTCTAGTCTGATGGAGGATTTTAGTTGCTCAGCAGACCAGAGCCCATGCATTAGTGCAATGTGCCGGGCATCCAGCACTGATTCTCAGCCTCATTCCTCACGCACAGAGATTTCTCCAAATTCTCTGAATCTTTTGATTTTATTTACTGTACATAGAAAAATAAATATTCTAATTATTCACCTTTTTCTTCTGAAATTGTTCCACAATTTGTAGATGCAACATTTTGCAGATTGGTCAGTACAGCTGAGTAGAGTTAGGAATTGAGGTTGTATCAAGTTTTATTTGAAGGACTTGGCTTGAACAGGATCAGGCCCTGGGTGATATCAGTTACATATGAAGTCTAATATGTCTAACAATGTGGTTGGTTTTTAACTACTTCAGAATTCACTCGAATTCTCAGGTTTAATCGAGCTGTTAGTTAATTAGGACTACACTTTGTCTGCTTGCAGGTTGTGAGGAAGACAACCACACCAGAGGGGGAGGTGATCCCCATCCATCAGATCGATGTGCAGACAGAGAGCGCTGTGGGCAGCAACAGCCTGTTCCTCCTCGCCCCGCTCATCATCTGCCACGTCATCGACAAAAACAGGTCCAGAAACACATCACGGAGGCTGTGGCTTTATTACACCTGACTAAACCCCACTTTGTGCTCTCCACAGTCCACACAAACAGATAATATGTGATGTGTTATCAACCAGAAAGCCCCTCGGCTGATTTATGATTAACAGAAAATGGCAGAGAGGAGAGAATATTGGCATTTGGCTGCTTTTGCTTTAAAAATAATCCAAAGTAATTGTTTTACCATTAGTTCTTTTTAAAAGTTAATCACTGGAAAAAGAAAACTCATAAAAGTAATAAAGTAGTTTAAGAAAGCAAACTGTGGAAGGGTCACAGTGTAAGAGTGTGAGATAAGAAGATGAGACTTGTTTATGCCCTACCGCCACCTGCTGGACAAACACAGACTTACAGTTTAACTAAACAACTAAAACAGAAACCATGTATCACCTGCACATACTCTGACATACTCTGATATTTAAACCTGGACTCCCCCCACTCTGCCCTCAGCCCGCTGTACGACCTGTCAGCCATGGAGCTGCAGTGCAGCGACCTGGAGGTGATTGTCATCCTGGAGGGAGTTGTGGAGACGACGGGCATAACCACGCAGGCACGGACTTCCTACGTCTCCGAGGAGATCCAGTGGGGCCACCGCTTCGTTCCCATAGTAACAGAGGAGGAGGGCGTGTATTCTGTCGACTACTCCAAATTTGGCAACACAGTCAAGGTAAATGCTAAAACAAAAAAGATCCTGGTGGACTTTTGTTCATTATCATCATCATCATCAGTCACAGCAAAACATTGATTTGGGTCAGTGTCTCTTCCCACTGGTGAACTTGGTTTAAGAGATGTTCATAACATGTTCTCTTGTTCCTCCTGCAGGTTGCGACGCCATGCTGCAGTGCCAGAGAACTGGACGAGAAGCCGTCCATCTTAATCCAAACCCTCCAGAAGAGTGAGCTTTCGCACCAGAACTCACTGAGGAAGCGCAACTCCATGAGACGCAACAACTCCATGCGCAAAGGTGCAGGAAGCAGTGGGAGTCTCCGCAGGAACAACTCAGGCCTCGCCGTGCCTAAAGTCCAGTTCTTTACCCCGACCGATGGAGGCCAGAACCTGAACGCCGTCACCTGACATGAGGCCTACCGTCTGCTGGCTCCACTGCTCTTCCTGGTGGGGAGGAAGATCCTGGGTGTTGGTGCATCTGTCTCTCTAATTGGACTCATTCTTTTCACTGGCATATCTAGACTTGTGTCTCGACACGTTCACTGTTAATGTTCCCTGTGTTTACGTTCATGGTTTAAAATGGGTCGTGTTCAGATTACATTTGTGATCTCTAAGCAGTTAAAGTAATATTCCTCTGCGCTGACAGAAACCCAGAAAGCAGATACTAAAACAGATAAGAGACAGATGGAAACTGCAGAATTGGTTGTGTGAGCTTAAACTGATTTCTAAATGACATACAGCGCTTTTCATTCTGAAACACTACAGTATAAAACGTGCAAAAGTGGCTTTAGCCTGCATTCTTTCTCATAGCCATCAGGGGGCTACTTCTCTGGCTCCCAGATCTTGGCTAAAGCCTCAAAACTGACGTCAGTAAACACTTTTCTTTTGGGTTTTTGGACTCAATGACTTGTATAAGTTTTATGTTCCTTCTGTAAATTATGGTCCTAATTAGAGTCCATAAGGATGATAAAACATGGATCAGGCTGTTTGCAGACGACTGTATTGGTTTGACCATCACTTCAGTGATGCATCAGTACACAAGCTCAGAGAGTCACAGATTACACATAGGAAGATAATCTTCCTGCTTGTTCTGGTTTTAAGTTACACCAGCACCACTGATGCAGAGGTTTCGTCTTCCCCTATCATTTAGAAAAATACATTGAATACCTGTGCACTGTAAAACAGAGCTGTGGATGAGACATGACCAATGCGGTGACCATAATCGGTCCTTAACTTATATAATGACTGTCATGTTGTATTGTATAAGCTCTGAAAGTTATTAAATAACAGGAAAGTGTTCACTAAACTCACTAATGAAGTCAGGATCACTTCTATAGACTTCAGCTCAGCTGGACTTTTCTCTGAAACCTTCTTTTGCCCCCTGCTGGCCATTAGAAAGAATGCAGATTGTCTAAATCCGTCTTTCTTGTCGTTGCCCCCCGTTTTCTTTGTTAACCCACACTAGCAATTCTATACCTTTATCTCAATGATGCTGCACATCAGATACTCAGAATAGCAGCAATAGTATATTCTTAAACACACACAATACCCTTTGTGTTTTTCTGTGTGACGTGCCTGGTCTCAACTTCAGTCACCAGTTCTCTCCACTCAGAAGACGAGACGCTCCATGACCCAGCTGATGTGTTCCACTTATTGTAATGATCCGCAGACAGAGAAAGCAATCTGAAGATTTCACTCTGGACAAACGAGAGGTTGCATTGAACCTTTTGTACCTTAATGGTTTATTTTAAAAATCAGCATGTCTCGTGAAAATAAAAGATTATTCCAGCTTTGAAGTAGATTTACTGTAGCCCTGGTGTGCACTGTGCAGAGGGGGAAAAGACTGGGATGTGTTCACTTTTACTGTTTACTGCATAGGTGTTGTGATACATTCAGAGTCCTTCTTTATCCTTCACCATCAGCTCAATCCTCTGTTGCCAGTTTTGAGACCACAAATAGCTTCATGTGAAATCAACCAGCTGTCGCATCAGGATTACTGACATGTTTGCCTTCACTGTATCTCTACTTGTTCCGCTTGGTTCCAGTTTCCAGTTCATTTCCATAATCTTCCATAAACCGTGCATGCTGTATTATCACAACAGCAGTACGCAAAAACACCTGGCTGTTGTAAGGGTGGACGTACTGCTTAAGTAATATTTTCTAATTAAGTTCACAATCACTACTAATGAGAAGTCATGGAAGTCATTCACCGTATGGTACTGATTTGTGTATTTTTCACGTATGGTTGTCTTTGTGTTGTTTGAGAATAAATAGTTATGTATGCAAATGCAAAACATGAATGTGGTTTCACTGTCTGTCTGTCACTGAGCAGCAAATGCAGAAACCCTGAAACTGAATGCGATGGTCCTAAAGGAGTCCCCGGTGGCACATATATATATTACATAATATATATTAGATATAATATAAAACAGTCAGTTGTGTTTTGTTTTAACTTTACGATGTCCTAATTTGATTGGTAGCAACTTTTACCACTACAGTGAGCCAATCACTCATAATTCCTAAACATGTCAATCAGGTAGGAACGAAGTAAGAGATTAATAGAAATAAAGAGTTGGATGTTGACATGTAGCCCTTTCCTTTCTTAAATCATTAATATTTTTGAAAAATTAACCTGTGATAAGACATAGCATATCAAGATAGAATTGTTATTATCATATAACTAAAGATGAACAAAGCTTCTTGATGCATTCTCAATTATCCAGGAAAGTAAACCCTCTGGGTTTTGGTCAGTGGTTGTTGATCAATGGTCATGAGAATTTGCATAATTATGATTAAGGAACTGACCTCCCAGCCCATTGTTCCCTCAGTGGGCTGCTTTCAGTCATTATGCAAATGTGCTGTTTATAAGATTGGGGAAACCTGCAGTCAGCTGAGACTGAAGAAGTCACTTGGATGAATGACGAAACGTTTCTCCCACAAAACGCTACGTCCAGATGAACAGAATCAACTTTTGGAGATGAACCAAGCAGTTCACAATTTAATCTAGCTCTCAGTTTTAAAAAGGCTGGTGACCCCTGCTATGGTCTCACAGCTGCAGTTGGATATACAAATATTCGACTGGTTCTATACCAGAATTAAACCAGTTCTAAGGAAAAAAAAAAAAAAAAAAAAAAAAAGGACTTATCTGTTAAACTAGCTATATAATTCCTAAATGCGTGTAGTTTAGGGTAGATTATTTTACCTAGATATGACTGGCTCTGATGAGCCTAAGGTACCAAACATGCCGGCGACGTTTATACTGGTTTTGTAGCTCCTTGGAAATTAAAACAGTACACAACACACGGAGCAACATTTGTTGGTCCAGTTTTCAGTTTTCATGCTGTGGTGTGAACGACCAGAAATGTGTGGAATTAAGGGCAGACTTGAACGAAGGCCAGCTTCTCAAGTCCATCCTACCCGGCCGTCAAAGAATCCTACCTACATGACATAGGTAGGATTCTTCGGAGCATCCTTCCCTGAATTTGGACACAGCATATAAATTAACTCTAAATCATGAAATCCTTTTATTCATTGAACTCTTACAACTGTAAATGAAGTACCTTGGTAATCAAGCATATGATTTTTAAACCTTTTATCAACTTTATATATTTTAACCACTTTTATAACCATGAGTTCCCCCCCGTTTTCCTTTATACTCTAAACCTGAATAATTTCGGACAGGGCTACACTCCGGACATTCTTTTCACCATGTTAAATTTACTCTTTCACAAGAGTTAAATTGACTCTAAATTGAGTCAGGATTTAACACTGACCAACACTGGGTAGTGTTATATGAGATTAACACTACAGGCTAAATTACTCCGTGAAGAGCATTATTTATACATTTAAGTGTGCATATTTTACTCTATTTAATTGATAAATAAACTCAGAATTAGAATGCATATATAATATATAATTCCTTTTTTTGGATTGTAACTTGTTTGTCAAGGTTCTCAGTCATCCAGGTCAGCGTAGTCTAAGAAGCTTGGGGAAAAAAAGCATCTGGACTTCTTTAAGATGCTTGAAGACGTTTCACCTCTCATCTGAGAAGCTTCTTCAGTTCTAGGGTCAAATGGTGGAGAATCCCAGATTTAAACCCTGTGGGAGTATTCCCTCAGGAGGGACAATGGACCCCCTAATTATCCTCTACCTAATCACACGAGCCAAGGTGTGAAAACGGGCGTAGGTCACAATCAGCCAAGGTTTCAGATGAGCTCATCGTGAAACCTAGCCCCCCATCATGTGATTTCCTGAGGTCAAATGGCCCAGGATGTGAGTAGGCGTTGGTGTCTGGGAAGGGATCTCAGCACTGGATTATAGATGGCGGATAGTTGGTGTCGTAAACCACCGCCTCTGTCAGCTATACTTTATAAAACATAACTGTGTTTTATAAACTCTGATAGAGTCGTTGCATTTTGACATTGCTAATTTAAGACTGCTGATTTTGCTGTGTGCGTAGCAGCAATGAAACCTTGAGAAAACAAGAATGATGAGCGAAGCTGGACTCTGATAACGTCTTGCTCCGCTCTCTGTGTCAATGACTTCTTTGACCACCTGCAGGCAGCTGGCTTTGTGACATCACGGTCACCCTGGTAACTCCAGCTGAGCGACAGGACGCCGACAATCCGTCCGCTCCTGATCCAGCAGGTAAACGGCTCCCGGTGACGCTACCGGCTGCGTGTCACATGTCACTCGATTGCGCTGAGAAAAAGTTGTGTTTTTGTACAGCGTGTATCCTGCTACAGCGCCTGTGTGGGCTCTACCACGAAAATATTCGTTTTGCACACATATAACAGATTGGACAGTTTATCTCCTCCACATTGATTTTGTGAACAAGGTTTTCATTCTAACCACTTTGATTTAAATTTTGCGTAAATAAATCCATATGTGAGTTTTAATTTTAATGCAAATTTTAACCAAAACAACAGAAACTAACACAAACACCACTTAACAAAAAGCTGGCACAATAAAAGGTGATGGACAAACGTCAGTCATTGTGAGGATTATGTGTAACAGGACCAAGAAAATCCCTAAAAATACTTCATTTTTTAGATTTATGTTGTTATAAATTTTTTACTGAAATGCTGGCAACATTTCATACCTCTATAAGCTACTGAAGTAGAGTGTTGTATTTCAACAAGCTTATTGAATTATAATATTATAGTTTTGTGTCAAGACTATTAATTTTTATAATCTTCTACTTATTTCAAATTACAAATCCAGAACTAATTAAACCAGGATCTGAAAAAAAAAGTAATTTTGCTCAAAGATCCAAACTTCAGCTTCTGTTTAGGATTTACAGTCTAGCAAACAGAGCTTAGATGTAGCTCATCTCAACATTAAGATTCTCTTTCCATTCTTAACCTCATTTAATCCATCTAAAATTGGACAGAAAGCAGCATTTATCTATTATGTCAATTTTGTTATCCACCATCTTAGTCAACAGTGTATTTCCTTCTCATTGCTCTCACAGCAGCGTTTAAGGCACACAATGGATCTTCATCATCTTTCTATACGGTGAACAGGAAGAAATCCTCAGAGAACATGAAACAGCACAGCCGACACATTCACTGAAGGCTGGTGGTAATTACTCAACTCACCAGTGAGTGCTAATCATGTGTTCCTGTCAATATTAATCACATGATCATTGTATAATTTGCTAAAACTCAGTCAGTTGTGGGCTTTTTCTGCTTTATGGCTCCACACTGGTTTGCGTTTCTCTATGAAGGCGCGGACCCCCTCCTGCCCGTCTCTCAGAGCCAGGTTGTCGACCATCACCTTTGAAGCGGTGGCATACGCAGCATCGCGACCTTGAGCCATTTGTCTTAGGAAGAAAACAGACAGAAACAAACACCACATATTTTAATTTATATTTAATTGTATTGTGGTTTGCAGTGTTTTGTGTTGTTTCACTTTAAATTTGTTTAAAAGGAAAAAGATGAAAATTTAAATAGTTAAAAGTTCAAATGTAGATAGTTGGTTTTTGTATTTTATGATTTATTTATTACATTTTATGTGGAGTGAATAAATAAAAGTATATTTATGGTGGCCCCTAGAGACAAAACACGTACAAACTTCAAATCACGTAAAATCTCCAAAACACGCTAGGGCGCAGTGTTGAGCTTTTGTTACCTAGTGGCTACACAAGCCAAGAAGTACCAACGACCGGATTTGGTGTGTGGTAGTAACAAGTAAATGAACATTTTTTTTAATTATTTGAATATATATGAGTGCTTGTGTATAAATACACAAACAATACACATATGCTTTCAATTGTGTAATTTAAGTGATCTAGGTAGCTCTGTTTTGGAAAGTCAGCAATGTGTTTTGGAGTTTGTACATGCTTTGTCTCTAGGGGCCACAATATATATTTATATAGAAACATATATAAATAAAACCTCTTTTTTTTACATTAGTAATTCCTTTTGTGCATAATTTTATATTGTTGTTAATAATAAATGAATTAAAGCAACAAAACAACCTGAAGAGCTGGTTGGGAGCTGAAAGAGCCGGCTCTTTTTAGTGAGCCGAGCCGAACGAGCCGGTTCTCTAAAAAGAGCCGGAAATCCCATCACTAATTCCTATGAAATTATTGTCATGGAAACTGTCTGTCAGTTTACACACTGTAAATTCTCACCTTTGGAAAGTGGCCTTTCCGAGGGCTACAACAGGTCGGCTAGCTTTACAGATACGCTGGGCAATGGCTAATGTTTCCTCTTCCAACTGCTCCTCCGGCACCACTTTACTGACCAGACCGTGGAGCAAAGCATCATGGGCTGAGATGGGAGTTCCTGTGAACAACATCTCCATAGCAACCTGTTTAAAAGAAGGAAAGGAAGGTGTGTATTGATTAGAGCTAAATACTAGAATACTAAGGATGTTTGTTCACAATTGAGTAGATCCAAAGAGAGACAACATGTTCTGAACACGTGTCCTCTTAGAAGAATCAAAATCCAAAAGTGATACTGACTTCAAGTGATTCAGAGCTGAATGACAGACAGACTGATAAACTCCAGAGAACAGCTTCCTGTTTTTCATGAGTGCCTCATAGAAAACAGGGTTTAACTGAGAACTTTTCTGTTGAATAATTTTCACGATGTTCATTTATAGACCAAGCTCAGACAGGGTGTAAATAAAGATTTAAAAAGGACCTTGTGGACCTTTAATTTACTCGTGGTGACTGTAATTACTCAAACCTTCAAAACACAAAACAAAAATGTTATAACTGATTATTAAAGAGAATAAACAAAAAACAGCCTTTAAAAAGCAGACGTTTTTTAAATGACTTCGGTTTATGATCATTTCTGATATTATCTTGATCTTTCGCATAATGTCATGTGAATAATGAACTTTTCCAAGTCCTAACCAGAAGAAAATCTAAAAGTTTCCATCGAATGAAACTATAAAACCAAAAATAAACGGAGGAGCGCTCTCACCTTTCTTGGTACCACTCTGCCAATGGCCACCGCCGGCGTCGAGCAGAACAGACCCACGCTGACACCCGGAGTAGCAAAGGTGGACTTCTCCGTCACCACAGCGATGTCACAACTGGCAACAAGCTGGCATCCGGCTGCTGTGGCAACACCATTCACCATGGCGATCACTGGAACAGGTATGTCTTGTATCAGCGTCATCACCTGCAGCACAGGGCGCAAATCATAATATTTAAAAAGTTTTTCCTTCATATTTATAGTGGAGATCTGATGTTTCCAAAGTGATTTCTTTGAATTGTTCTAAGGAGAATAATGGATTTACACAAGTCGCAAAATTCAGCTCAAAGCTCAAAATAACCATGACATTCATGCCCACGATGAATGGATGGAAACTTGTGACCAGAACTGTACCTGAGTGTCTGTAACAAAGCAAAAATTACAGTGATTTGTCAGCATGTAAGCTGCAGTTACAGTAAAAACACAAAACAAACAAACCAAAGAAGCTGAGGTGGATAGATCGATCTTTGACAAGGCAATCAGTGGTTTTGATAACAAAGTCCACCTTATATATAAAGTTTGTCTGTTTTTCATGTTATTTTAAACTAAGCACATTTGGCTTTTTGGTCACATAAACTGTCTGAAAACATCTGTTTTTATTTTGCAGTTGTTTTAATATGCATGGCATGATTCATTACATTTTAATTCACAAAATTATCAATAAACGTTTTAGTGAATGACAAGACAAGAAGACAGAGAAACACTAACTGACCTCTGAGCAGGTATGAAACACCTTTGTGTGATATTCTCGACCCTGAGCAGATGTCAGCTCCTTCAGGTCGTGTCCAGAGGAAAACACCGGACCTTTGGCTGAAATACACATAACAAGGTCAGACTGGCATTTGGCTTTCTCTCGGTCACACACGTAATAGACAAACACCAACCTGATAGGATGACAACTCTGAGATCGTCGCTGTCAACATCAGCTAAGATGTTCTCTCGGAGAGACTCGAGCATGGACAGAGACAAAGCATTCCTCTTCTTGGGGTTGTTTAGTATTATTCTCCTGAAGACGAGAAGAAAAAAAAAAATATTTTTTTATATATTTCAGAACAATTTTCACCAAGGTTACAGAAATCATCTTTAAAATGATTCTGTAATATAGGCGTCCTTTTTTCCTTTCTTTTATTTCCCATCTTTGATTTGGCTGAAGGTGATGATGTAGAGTGTCGTAAATAGATATTTGCCCCTTTCCTGATTTCTTAATTTTTGAATATTTGTCACACTTAAATGTTTCAGATAATCAAATAAATTATAATTTTAGAGAAAGGTCTGAATACCAGCAGACCTGCTGAATGGAGAAATCACTTAAATAGAGCCTGATGACCATGATGTAAAGAAACAGCTGAGAAACAAAGTCACTGCACCAATGGTGGCACAACCACTTATTAGGTTTAGGACACAAATACATTTTCACACAGGACCAGGTACGTTTGGAGAACTTCTTTTCCTTAATACATGAAAACATATTTTAAAAACTTCATTTTGTGTTGACATCATAGTGGGTAAAGACAGGAGAAAAACAGAAAGAAATGGTCTGGACATTACAGACAGTATAATGTTCACGTTGTTGCTCATAAAATTCAGATTTCGAGCTTTTGGGACGGACGTTGTTGCTTTTGTGCATTTAAATTAAACCAATAACCTGAAAACATGTTCCCCATTGTTTCCAATTCAGAATAGCAGACATTTTAACCGCTTTTCACTGACGTAATATTCATCCCGAGTGTACTTTGTGTGTCAGACCAACACGTACACACAAACTGAGGCACTGTACGGATCACTACAACAAACTGCTGTTGTGACAGTCTTGCTCCATAATTGTTGTGCATCTGTATAAGGGACCAGATACGGTAACTAGCTGCACCTTATTCCGTCGCTTTGCTGCTTCAGTGTCAGCGGCTCCGCTTCGCTCTGCGAGTAGAAACGAGCGCCGGACAGCAGCGCGGTTTTCCTGCCTAGTTGAAGCACACCGAGGCATGTACACAGTACGCTCCGTGCCATCTTGCCCGTGGCCGCTTCGCCTTCACGCTCACTTCCGGTGTTCTGAGAATCCATCCCACCTGACAAACGTTGTTTCTACGCATGCGCACAACACGAAATTCACAGTGTTGCCAACTTAGCGACTTTGTCACTATATTTAACGAGTTTTCAGACCCCCTTAGCGACTTTTTTCCTAAAAAGCGACTAGCGACAAATGTTCCACGACGTGGAAGAGACATGAAGTAACCCTAAAGTAACCCTAACCCTCTCCAACAGCGTAAGTTACAATTACATCAGCATGACCAATTATGCAAATTAGGCGATGATGTCATTTTTATTATTATTAGTCCTTTATTTATCCAGGTAAAAAATCTCCTTGAGATTAAAAATCTCATTTTCAAGAGAGACCTGGAATCATGGCAACAAAAGTCAAAATACAGTAATACACATACCACATAAGTATATAACATTTAAAACAAATACAATATCCCATACCAACATGTGTAAAATATACAATAACAGATCAAATTAAGAGTACATTAAAAACAATCACACTGAGTAAAAGAGTTATTCTCTCATTCCTTTAAGACAGACTTAAACTCTCCCAAGGTAACCAATTCTGATAATTTCAGTTCCTTCTGCAGATTATTCCAAGAAGCAGGGGCAGCGTATTTAAAAGCCTTTTCCCCCCAATTCTGTTCTGATTTTTGGGACAATCAATTGTATGATATTTTGAGAACGAAGGCTGTATTGGTTGTGGTTTTTACACATATAAACACATAAATAAGATGGAACCAGCCCAAGGAGAGATTTATAGATAAAGATCAACCAATGGGAGAGTCTGCGAATATGTAAAGATGGACATTTAGCAGCAGCATACAAAGAACAATGATGTACACGATTTCCATCGCCAGTAATAATAAAACGTAAAGCACAATGGTACACAGTATCCAACGTCTTTAGGTAGTGGGCAGGTGCATTCATAAAAAGCAGGTCACCATAATCCAATAAAGGTAAAAAAGTTGCATGAATCAAGTGTTTTCTCACTTGGAGGGAGAAACCTTGAATTCTTCCTTGAATTATTTTAATCTTAGGAGACGTAGCTAACAACTCTTTGCCGTTTGAGAATAACATGAACTTGGATTTCTCTGGATTTAACACCAACTTAAGTTGAGTTAAATGGGACTGAACTACATCAAAGGCAGACTGCAGAAATTGCAGGGTTTGTGCAACTGAAGGGGATAAACAATAAATAATTGTATCATCTGCATAAAGATGAAATGCTGCATTTGACAAATTATCACAAAGGTTGTTTATGTAAAGAGAAAATAGCAATGGCCCTAATATGGAGCCCTGTGGAACTCCTTTGGATACTGGGAGAAAAGAGGAAGAAGACCCAGCAGCATGGACACATTGTTTTCTTGCTGACAAGTAATTTGAAAACCAACTTACAGCATTTACAGATAGACCAATATTGTTTAGTCTATTTAATAAAATAGCATGGTCAACTGTATCAAAAGCCTTTGACAAGTCAAGAAAAAGAGCAGCACAGGAGTTTTTGCAGTCCATTGAATCAACGATGTCATTAACCACTTTAATAGCAGCAGTTATTGTGCTGTGTTGTTTTCTGAATCCTGACTGATGTTGGGAAAGAACTAAATTTTTGTCCAAGTCTTTCAGTTGTTCACTAATGAACTTTTCTAGAACTATTGCTAGAACACACAGATAGATTTAGATATGGGCCTGTAATTATTAACATCTGAAGGATCACCTCCTTTCAGCAAAGGGAGAACATAGGCAGATTTCCATATTACAGGGATCTCACTGTTCGAGAGGCTAAGATTAAAAATGTAAGTTATCGATTCTGCTATAAAATCTGCAGCCAACTTAAGAAAATAGGGATCAAGTTGATCTGGTCCTGCAGATTTATTTAGATCCAACAGATTTAAAGCCCTGTGGACCTCAAAAACATTTAGCGGAGAAAAACTGAAGGGTTGGACCACAGATTCAGTTTGAGCGGTTGCAGAGAGAGCCTTTTGTTGATTAAGCTGTTTTAAATCTGGATATAAAGATTCAAATAGAGATCCTGAAGAAACAAAAAGTTCATTAAAGCAGTTTAGAATGTCACATTTCTCTGTTAAAGTGCAGGAGTATTTTACAAAAGTTGGCATCTCATTTGTAGTTATGTCCCCATAAGAAGATTTTATTATTTTCCAGAATTCTTTAGGATCATTCAAATGTTTAGTAGTTTTTGAAAGATAGAATTCTGATTTGGCCTTTTTAATTAAGGAAGTTGAACAGTTTCTGAGCTGTCTAAAAATCAGCCAATCCGATTCGGATTTAGTTTTTCTGGCCTGCCTAGGCAGCATCCCTTTTTTTGAGTAGACTGGAGAGCTGAGGAGAAAACCAAGGGTTGTTTCTACATTTTACTATAAAAATGCACATGGGGGCATGTTTATTTATAATTTTGATAAAAGTGTCATAAAAATAATTCCATGCCAGCTCAAGATCAGTTATCAGGTAGATTCTACTCCAGTTATAGTCCCATAAATCATGAAAGAAAGCTTGCTCACAGAAATGCTTAAAATCTCGTTTAAAAACTATTTGTGGCCTTGATTTTGGGAGCTTCGATTGTCTGACTACAGCTACCACACAGTGGTCACTGATATCATTTGCGAAAACCCCAGTGTGAGAATATTTATACGGCATATTAGTTAAAAATAAATCAATAAGTGATGACTTTTCTGGGCATTTAAGATTTGGACAAGTTGTGCTGTAAATTAGTTGTGTGAGATTATATGAATCACAGATGGATTTAAAACTGTCTGAGGCAGAGGACAACCAGTCCCAGTTGAAATCTCCGGCCAGCAGAATTTCATTAAAATCTAAAGTAGATAGTTTTTTACTAAGTGAAACTAAAGCCTCACTACTAGCCGAGGGGGGTCTATAACAGCCCACAATGCTAATAAAATAGCCCTTGAAAAGTTGGAGCTTGAGTGCAAGAAGTTCAGACTGTTTACAAACAGATACCGATGAATCGACAGTAACATGGAATTTGGTTTTTACATAAATTGCAACACCGCCACCCTTTCTGGGTCGGTCGCAACGGAAAAGATTATAGCCCGTTATTGCAATGTCTTTGTCAGTAATCGATTTTGTAAGCCAGGTTTCTGATAATATAAGATATCGGTATCTAACTCTTTCATCCAAATTTTCACAAAATCAAGTTTGGGAAGAAGACTTCTGACATTTAAATGAGTGATACCAAGACCTGTTCGAGTTTTAAAATCACAAGGAGTACTTAAGCATTTGCAATCTGGACCGGGATTAGGTTGCACATTTCCAGATAAAAGACTTCAGCGACTTTTAGGACAGCCAATAGCGATTTTCCTTACTGAGGAGTTGGCAACACTGGAAATTCAGTGGCGAACCATCCTACCTTTGTGAATATAAGCTACAAACATACTCTGACGGGTAAAATTAATTGCCGAACCATCCTACCTTTTAATGTGACGTACAAGCATACTTTAACAGCTATAATTAGGTGTCAAATCATCCTACCTTTGTTAATATGAGCTAGAACACAGGTGTCGAACTCCAGGCCTAGAGGGCCGGTGTCCTGCAGGTTTTAGATGTGTCCTAATCCAACACAGCTGATTTAAATGGCTAAAAGACCTCCTCAACATGTTTCAAGTTCTCCAGAGGCCTGGTAATGAACTAATCATGTGATTCAGGTGTGTTGACCCAGGGTGAGATCTAAAACCTGCAGGACACCGGCCCTTGAGGCCTGGAGTTTGACACCCCTGAGCTAGAAGCATAATTTTACAGCTAGAATTCAGTGGCAAATCATCCTACCTTTGTTAATAAGAGCTAGAAACATACTCTGATGGGTTAAATTACGTGCCAAACCATGCTACCTTTGACAATGTGACCTAAAGGCATACTTATATAAATGAAGTGGCAAACTGTCCTGGCTTTATGAATGTGAGCTACAAGCCTACTCTGAAGGGCAAAGTTAAGTTGCAAACCGTCATACCTACTTACATTTGTGCTGGAATTACTCTGTGACAGCAGAAATGTGCATAAACTACTTACGGTAGGACGTTTTGCCAAAGTAGGAGGTTTTGTCAGAGCAGGTTTGATGACTTCTAGGACACGTGACCAGGAAACATTTCAACAGTCACTGGATTAGTGCTTCTCAATCATTTTCTGTTACTTTTAGATAACTGGCGCCCCCTAATTCTAGCATAGAGGCTGAAAATGGTCCTGAATTCCCTCATAGATGAAACACAATAAGGTTATATGCCTAAAAGATAACAAACAATAAAAGACTATTACTAGACATTCTAGATTACTCTGAACTATAAAGTCTATACAGTCTATAAAGAAATGGTAATAGCTCAGTGAAACTAAGCGGTGGAACTTGTCCTAGATTAGATTTGATCTGTCAAGAGGCATTCGACAAGGATGCCTTGCCTCTTTCTAACTCTTTTTACTAGTTGCCCAACTCTTAGCAGACCATATTAGATCCAGTGAAATTCAAAGTATTTCTCTGCTGGACAGAAATCTGATCATCACTCAACTGGCTGATGATACTCCTCTTTTTCTGAAGAAGAAAAACCAAATTTCTGCAGCTCTGGAATCTGTCTTCTCTAGAGCTTCTGGCTTAGTAATATTAACAAGTGTGAAATTAGGAATGTTCCAGTACATCTATTTGTAAGATACAAATTAAAAATGAAGTGCTATACTTAGGAATAATAATTACCAAGGATCAACAAAAAAGAGCATCCATAAATCTGGAACCCATCATCCAGAAAACTCAAAGTAGACTAAACCAGTGGATCCCTCCTTAAAAGGAAGAGTTCTGATTACCAAAGTGGAGGGAATATTACAATTAACATATGCAGCTCTGCCTCTCCATGTGGAGAAAAACCATGACACTGACAAGATGCTCTTTACCTTTGTGTGGAGAAATAAGACTCATTATTTAAGAAACCCTGACTTCATGAATGCATTTGATAAAGGTGGTCTACATTTTATAGATATTAGCAATTTAAATAA